AAAACTCTTGGGATGGGGCTGACTACAAAACACAGGGGACAATGTTTCTGCATTTCTCTTAAGTTTTTTCTTTCTTTTTGGAAAATGGCTCTTTTTTCCCAAAAAGGGAGAAAAAGAGTGTCTTCACAACGCTTTGACCAAATTCTAGCCCTTCGTTTCCTACAGTCAGACAGTGTCTCCCAAGAATCGATTCTCCCTGCACAGGAGGTGGGTTCAGCCCACTGCAGCAGATGTTACTGATGCTCTCTCTGCCTGTGTCTCCTCAGCGCGGTGACTTTTATGCACACACACGCACAGCTTCTCACAGCCAAGCACTCTTGACTTTCTTCTTTCTACTACTCTGGCTATAATGGTGTTCTCAGAATTATATGAATTCAAGCTCAATGTGTGTTCTTACTGATACCTGGTATCAGGCTTCAACTAATCATGGAGTAGATACTGGTGGAAAAGTACCACAGGTTTTTATTTTCTGAACTGGGGAACTCTGAGTCACGAGTTACCCAGAAGTTTAGAGTTGTGCACAGGGTTAGAACATGATATACCCATGGTGGTGCCTGCTCATTAATTCCATCTATGTTACCTTCCTCTCCACCCCAGTTTTCTTTTCCCAATCTATTAACAGTTCTTTCAAAGCATAATGAAAATAAACTACTTACACTTGACTCTTAGGCCCTGGCTCTGACCCTGGAGAACTCAGTGTAAGATCAGTTATCCTCCCCAAAGTGTTTTCTAACTTTTAATATGAAATACGTTACTAAATACATACTGTTGAGGCTTTGGAGAAGGATTATCATGTTCAATTGTATGCAGGATACCTGTGCCAGGTAGAATTATGGCCTTGTGCTTATTGGGAGATTGACTGGTTAAAGGACATAAGTTTGGATGTCAGTTGAACAAGGAGTGGGGTGCTATGTGTAAGCTGAATGTCAACTGCAGTGGCTTTGGGATGTGGCCAGATTAGTGGAGCACATATCAAGGTGTGTCCATGTGCATCACGGAGGTGTGACTTTTGGTGCTGTATATGGCCCCAGGCCCTATTCTCTCTGGTGCTATTTTACTCTGTTTCCAGACACCGTGAATGAGGCATCTTTGCTGTACCCAGTGCTTCCACCATATACATATGTGTCCACCATGATGTTTCTGCCTTGGAGGTAGCTTACCATGCAGCGAATCTCCTGAAACCATAAGCCAAGTTAAACCTCTCCTCCTTTAAATTGTAGTTGCTGCGTACTGTGTCCCAGCAATGGAAAACTGACTAATATACATATATTAAATAATCATAAAATATGAAATAAATAAGTATATAATTTAAAATACACAAGGCATATCAAAAAGTAATATGAAATAAAAGTTATCACTAATCACTGCATGAATAGACATTCTTTGAATTCCTAAATAATCTTTGATGCCCTGATATTTTAACAAAAGTAGCAATGTATAAAACATCCCATGCCCTGAGCTATTCATTATAGGAAAATTTTTACAAGAACATCCTTCTTCTGCTTCTAGTGAGACCACTAAGTCATGAAAAAAATCTCTGGAAGGTGGTGGGAGGTGATGTTTTGGGTTCAGATCCTCAGTTGGTGCCCATTCTTCAGATTTAAGCGTGTGACTAATCACAAATGACACAGGTGCCTTCACCCTTGGCACTAAAGCCTCAGTTCGTCTCTTAGTGTTTCATTCCAGGCACTGGGGAGCCCTGGAGAGGACCAGTGTCTTGTCTGTTTTCTTCTTCCCACGTTGAAATGGCTGATTAAAACGAAGAGAGACTGCCTTCCATCAGCGTTCTGACAGCCGTGGCAGAACTGTTCTTCAAACCTTATTGCCTTTTGATTCCTAGCTTCTTCCTCAATATTGTTTTCTATATTTCAGAACATAAATTAGATATAATTTTCTCTGTGGCTTGAATATATTCCGTGAATGACAGATTTAAGCTTGCCTCCTTACCAGTAAAGGAGGCCCCAAAGGAATAACATACCACAGAAATAACTTAGCTCTGGAACCACTGTAGGGAGAAGAAAAACACCATTGAGAACATATTAGAAATTCAAAAAAACTGTGCTCTTTTTAGCAAATGGAATAAGTTCTTTTTCTCATGTGAAATGTTTCAGGTTAGGACAAAGGCAGATTATTAACAAAGATGCTTTGAGAACATGTGAGGAGGGGAGACATGCCAATTTGAGCTGAGTACATGGGTGTGAGTGTGCTGGCCATTCTGGCTACTTTCCTAATCAGCAGTGATGGCAGAGAGGAACTCACGTCAATTGCTAACGAGCTGAAGTGATTGCACCCCTTGTGGAGCACCAGCTCAGGCACTTGGGGTGAGAGTGCGCTTGCTGGGTAAAATGACCACTGGCAACTTTTCAAAAATCCTAGCTACATTTTGAAAATAGGCTTGGGAACAATCTCGATGCATGCCAAAACAATTCAATAATTGGTGAAGAAACTAGAAGGGAGCCTGTTTTCCAAACAGAATACTTTCAAATTAGAAAGTTGACCTTCTGAGATCATCCTGGGATTCTTTTCCATTTTTAAATTGTTGATTTCCTTTTATGATGCTGTACAGTTCAGATAGCGCTCCTAAATAGTTCACTATGCACTTCAGATTTTCTGTTCGTTCACTCCATAAATATTTATCGAGGGCTTATTACCGATAAAGGCTTTATCTAAAATTTACCTAAAGAGAAAATAAAATTATTGAGGACATGGACTGTATCATACATAAGGGTAAGATAACAGTGGGTCAGATGAACTAAATGGCTAGCAGATTCTGCTATGCTGGGCAAATACCAAGTGTTTGTGCATTTGTGCTGTTTTTATCACACACACACACACAGGGACACACACACACACACACACACACACACACACACACACACACACACTTTCAGGATTCCAAGCCTTCAAAGTCAACATATAAGTAGCAAAACAATAACCTTGGAAAAATATCTAAGAGTTAGGGGATTTGGAGGCTAAGTCTGACTCTACCAGTGACTTTTAATTTGACCTCCAGCAAATAAATTCACCTCTTTTCACCTCTATTTCATATAAAGATGAGAATTTTTGTTAGTTTTACTACTTTATCTTCAACTCCTAGGATAGAGTCTACCAGTACTAGGGTTCAATAAATATCTCTTGAAAGGATGAATAAAATACTCTGGTCCCAAATGCCCAAGCTCTGGGCTAAGCTACAAATGAGCTGCAAAGACTTATTGACAGCCTTTGGCCTCTGGCCGCCACTAAAATCAGTTTAGTGATCTCCTCGGCCCCTTAGGCTCTAAAGCTAATCAGAGCTAGGCATCTAGTCACTCTAATGGTAAGCCCAAGAAAAAGAAAGGGCAAGGCACCAATGTGCCCAGTATATATTAGAAAACTGGCCCAGATGTTGTGTATTCGTAGGGCAAAGTAGGATGGGTGAGGGGGAGTGGCTTGACAGTGGCAATATATCTTTTTTTTTTTAATCAGTACTGGGGATCGAACTCACGACCGCCTGCTTGCAAGGCAGGTGTTTTTGCCGCTGAGCTAAATCCCCAGCCCCCAGTGGCAATATATCTACAAGTAAGAGTTCAGTCATTTACTACCTACAGTATAATTCATTCTCAGGATTTGCTTGCATAGCTCTTGCAAAATTATGTGTTCACAGGGACTCAAATACTAGCACAGGGCAGGTGTTCAACAAGTATCTGTTTTAAGGGGATATCCCATCTTTCCTGAGCATGAACATTTACCAGTGTCTTGGTACTGCCATTTGCCAAGTTTAGTTTTTATTTTCTTGTCTATCAAGAAAAATTTTAGTGTAACTTGCTCTACAAAATGCAAGAGGGAAGATATTTCCTCACAACTCTCTTTAGAGTGGTTTCTCAGTTTCATCCCTTCTTCCATGAAAATGATTAATTTTTTCTCCTGTCTTCTGACAATTGGTTCTTAGGTCATCTACAAAGTGTACATCATAACCTTTGGAGAACTCAGACAAAGAGTTACACAGAGGAAAACTGGATAGAATTTTTTTCTGTTATAACAATATTGAATACAGTCAACAGAAGGAAACAAAACAGTGTCCTAATTACAGAGACTGATTCCAACACAGCCAGAAGGTGGCCATTATATTGTTTCATTGGGAATTGTCATTGAACAAAGTTCGTTGTAAGCAAGGAAACAAATCTTTGCAGTGTTGTTAGGTTGCCCATCTTCTAGTTGTCACAGAAATAGTGCATCAGTACAGTACCTAAATTTATTTTAGGACGTTTTACTTTAAAATGTTTTAATATGTTATTTGGTATTATAGGCAAGGAAAGGAACACCCCAAAACAACTTGTTTTTTCACTTATTTACAAGTGGGCACTGTTGCCAGGCAATACTTACCTCCAGTGTTACCAGAAAATTTGATGGATTAGAACAAAATTAGATTTCCAAGACAGGATTCTGTTTGATTGAAAATCACGGTGCTAAGTGAGAAGGCAGACCCTCTGCCTTTTTGCTGATGGCGTAGGGTTCCTAAGTCCACCCAACCCACTCAGTGCACTGGGGCTGTTTTCCACCTGTGCTGTCTTAACAGTTTCCATTGACAACTACTCACTCTTCCAGTATCACTCGCTCTTTATAAGCAAGCATCTCTCCAGGTGGGTATAGGACGTCCTTCTTCTTAGAGCCCTGAATGGACAAGTCAACAGCAAGTGAATTTTCTTTCAGTCTAGTGACTGAAAGTTTGTCACAACTATGTTTTGCTTAGTAGAGCACTGGGAACCTGGCATGAAGGATTTATTTATATCATCTCTTTAGATGAGTGAGCTCATCTGTTTAATATAACTCGAAGGAAATTAAATTAAATTAAAAATATATAATGAGAACAGTGTTAATTTTATGCTTATTATATCTTTTATTTCTAGTAAAATTAGTAAAGAAATACTAATTAAAGTGATGAGAAGTCGTTCTATTTATCTAACAAATTTCTGTTGAAAACCTATAAGCTAGATTCTGTGTGGGGGTCTTTCAGTGCAAGGTACTGGCCTAGAAGAACTAAATATCTATTGAATGGAAATGTATAGTTCAGAAAATATAGGTCAGAGTAATTTGCTTAGTAGAGTTGAGGTGAGGAATCTGAGAAGGACTTTTACCTCAGTTTACCTGAGTTTCTATCCTGTGTCAGGCTCTCCTGGATAATTCACACATATTACCTACTGCTAAAGGATCTGATGTAACCAAGGAATCACTGAAGATGATAATAACTTTTAAAAATAGGTAAGGCCTACGAAAAAACATGTAATTTTCTAAAGTAGCTTAATAATAGGTAAAGAGTAAATGCATGTTCTTTACCCAAATGAACAAAGAATGACCAAATGAGAAGCTAAGTAGAGGACACAGAGAGCTAGAGACAAATACTTTGAGAAAGGGATGACTGAGAACTCATGTTGATCCCACAGATGTAAAATTTCACTTATTTATTTGTATATATATTGTGGTTCTATGTAATATACTTAATTTTTTAAAAAGACATGAAGCCAGGCCAAGACTGGTTAACAATTGCTTCTTTTTCATATAAATTTGAGGAGTTTAAGAAAAACAAGATAAGTTTGAGGGAAAATTTTTACATTTACTTTTATTGTGACAATCTACCATTTATTGGGCATCAGCAGTGTGTGAGGCAATAAAGGTAGATGTGTTTGGTACCTTAACTGGATTCCACAAAGTCTTATGAAGCATGCATTGTTTATTTTGCCTATAAACATGGATGCTGGGCCTGCAAGCATTAAAGGACTTGTCTAAAAACTGACTTGGTGGCAGAGCTGGAGTATGAACTCCAGTTTGTCAATTCTGTTTGATCTCATTAATTATATTTCTACTTTCCTTGTCCCCAATTTAGCATTAAATATCAAGAGCACAAGAATTTGCTAAGTCTGGATTACAAGTGGGAAATGCATAAAGATGCTGCCTAAGAAAAATTGAGAACAAGTGGACTCACCTGCATCGGAATGGAGATGGACAATAAAACCTCGGTTGCTCGTTTGTACTTGTTTGCTTTTGTCTGCTCATTTCCGGGAATAGATTTGGTAATATAAACACTGTTAATGCTGTAACATGGAGTTAATGAGATAAAAAAGCAAGGATTGTAAGCAATTAGAGCAGGTCACTTAGTATTATTACGTGAAATATATAGGTAATAAAATAAAATGGAAAATATATTTTAAAACAGGGTTTTTGCAAATAAACAAATAAAAATGTTTTGTATATTGATAATAGCAAATGTGTCCTTTAGGGATAATCATGGGAATTTTGAAAACTCATCTTATCCTTCCTTTTCCTGTTTTACAATCTCTTAAATTGATTTTATTATCTCCTTCTAATTACTAGTTTCTCTAGCTAGAAAGTGAAATTATTAGTAAACAGGGTCACAGTGACACTCTTTAAAATTAGGGACTCTTTTGCTTTGGCAATGTTACTATGTCACTTCAGTGTTTTGAGATTTTTAGATTTTTTAAATCATATTGGTCTCTCTGTAGTCCTTGTCAATAAATAGATTTTCACTTTTTAAAAAATACGGTGTCTTGCAAAGCATCTCTCTAGATCAATTATTTACTCTGGTGGTTATTTGTAAATTTCTGCACAGTACAATTTTACTTTTGCTGTAAATTTTTTTCTCATTTTTTCATTCAAAATATAATGTCTTTATAGACAATTAATTGTCTTGCCTGGAGCCACATAAGGTGGCACATGTCTGTAATCCTAGGATACATGGTAATATGGTAATATGGTAATATGGGGTAAAGGGTCTTAAGTCCAAGGTCAACCTGGGTTACATAGTGAGATCCTATCTCCAAAAAGTCTTGATCAGGACTGCAGATGTAGCTCAGTGGTAGAGTACCTGTCTAGCAGTTGTGAGGCCCTGGGTTCAATACCTCCACAAAGTCTTTGTTTTCTTGCTTGCGATATAATTTAAAGCTACAGTTAGACCATGGTGATACAGCATCAGGAGAAAGCAGGAGAAGAAAAATCTGACCTCTTGCTTCGATGTGATCATCATGTGACTTTCAGTAACTCAAAGAAATTCTTTTATCTTTTGGTAGGAATAGACAACTAAAAATTTTTCAAAGTCATACCTTCACATAATATAAATAACCAAAAACACTTGTAGAAATGGGTTCTTGCAAAAGGAAATCAGACCTTTCTCCTCCTTATGGATAAATTGATTCCCAAAGATTCCCATCTCCTTTGCCTCTTAGGATACATACTGGGCATGTGGTTGGTTAGATAAGGAGCTCTGCAGAGACTGCTCAGCAGTCAGCTTTCTCTGAGGTAGCTCTCATGCTATTGCTCCCTCTGGAAGGCCGAGGTAATAACGTCAAAGGCTTGTTAGGGCCGAATATGAGAAGATGAGGTCAGGGGAGCCAAACTTTCCATCAACCTCCCAACTAAGAGGGTAGAGACTTGGAATGTTAGAATCTCCAAAATCACTGAAGCGGGAGGAAAGGGGAGAGAATCGTAGTGGCAGTTTGGATGACTGTGAATAGATATTCACCTGTACTTGGATGGGTGTTTCAGGTCCAAAGTGATCTGTGACTTGGGTCACAGCTGGCATGCTCCCGGGGGAATTCAGAGTCCCAGAAATGGTCGAACGTGAATACCAGGGCTGTCTTGCTTGGGTGCACGTTTCTCTAAACATTAACTTATAATGAGCCTATGAGAGTCACAGTTGTGTTCAGGTAAATGCCTCCTTGTAGAACTCTATACAAATAGCTGCAGAGGGATTCAATGTACCACTGGCTCTTAGAATGTCTAGTGGAAACCATCAGGCACTGTGATGGTTTGCATCACCAGTGTAGGTGCAACACCAAGACAAAAAAATCATGCAAGAATGGAATAGAGGGGCTACACATATAGTTCAGTAGCATAAGCATCTGCCTAGCAAGTGCAAGGTTCTGAGTTCAGTTCCCCCTAGAAAAAATAAACAGAACAAAACCCAACAGAAAATGGAATAGATTTATCATGGATTTGGAATCATTGTGGAAATTTAGGGTTTTATATCTACCAGGAATTGAGAGAGGGATTAATTCTAGAGATCCCAGAAACTTTTTAAAAATTTCTAACTACATGCTTTTATAACACACAGACAGAAAATAGAAGCAGAACCAAAGAGGGTTGAGGTTAGGTAATCAAAGAAAATATTTTAAGGCCAGTACCACAGATTGTAGGAGATGCAAATAAAGGCAGCATGTAGCTCTGAATCCATGAGAATTAGGGGTAAAAGAAACACCAAGCATCACCCCATGTAAAGAAGCAGGACTGTTTGAGACACAAGCATTTTTTTCAACACTTGTTTCCTAGTATACTTGATACCTACTGACTTACCTAAAAGTTTTGATCTTTATAAATAGCATTATTAAGACATGAACAAAAGCATTTTTGAGATGCTCAAAATGGTAGGACCAGAAGGATTAAGAGGTATTTTGTTGGAAACTGGAGAACAAACTATATATATATGTATATATATACTTTAATGTAGTTTCCAGCCACTTGATTTTTCAATTAATTCTGATAATCAAAAAACCATCACTATATACGTAGAGGCACATGCTAGAATGCCCTGCATTTTGATTAGTCCATAAGGTGTAAGTCTGAGAACTTACCTTTAATAATTCAGACCTCATGATGTCTACATGAGCATTTGTCAATAAATCATACCGAACACCAAAACCCACATTTTATTTCACATATTTTGATACTAGGATTGTGTGAATGGATTTTTGTGTTTATTGATATGAATCAAAGAAAACGAATTCTCAAATTTCTTCAAAAGGCAGGTGGAAGCACATGGAAAAAACCAGTGATTGAATGATACCGCACTGCACAACAGCCTCCTTTACCTTCTGATGCTGGTACATAAATATACATAAAGAGCCTGGGAAACATGCCAGAGGAAAAATATTGAGCATATTTTCAGGTTTATTTTTCTTTTATTTTGAAGTTGGATTGAGATTTATAAGAAAATATCTCAATAGAATGGGAAAAGTCAATCAATCATATGGATGTTGGGTCATCAAAATGCAAAAGCATTCAAGCATGGGTAGATGACTAATTTTCACACTTACCACCCACTCTATCTACCCAATATTTGGAGTTGTTAATATAGAGCTGAAATGATTATTGCATAGGATTGACATAATCAAATGGAAAGAGAGATAATACATTTGAAGTTATCACAGTTATTTAACAGTGTATTTAGCTGATGGTCCCCAGCAACTTATAAACCTTTATATTAGTCAGCTTTTGTGTTTCTGGACATAATATCTGACACTCACAACTGAACGGAGGAGGGCTTTACTTTGGCTCATAGTTGTGGGGAATTAAGTCCATGGTAAGCTACGTACAAGTAGGGAACATCATGGCAGAGGGCACAGTGGAGAAAAACTGCTCCATGGTAAGCTAGGTCCAAGGAAGTAACTCAGCAGAAAAGCGTTGTGGAGAAAAGCTTCTCTCAGTTCATGGCCACCAGGAAGCAGAGAAGGAAAAATGCCAGAAAGGAAGGGATGAAGGGCCAAACATAGACCCCAAAGCGTAGCCTCACTGTCCACCCAGACACTCCTAAAATATCTTCCACTAGTCCTCTAGGTAGATCCCAAATCCAACCAAGTTGACACTCTATCCTAATCAAATAAAATAGAATAGTGGTCCTTAACCCCTGGTGCTCCTGGCTGGTACAAGTCTATGACCTATTAGGAACCAGGCTGCAGAACAGGCTAGGAGTGGCAGGCAAGAAAACTAAGGTTAATCTATATTATTGTCTCAGCCCATAGTTTGCGTGACCATCTGCCCTCTGTCATCTGTCAGATCAGTAGTTGTGCTAGATTCTCATAGCATCTACCATGAAGTGCAAAGGCCAGGGTTCTCGGATGCATGTTCCTTATAAGAAACCAATGCCTAAAACCATGCCTCCACTTCCATTTGTGGAAAAAAATTGACTTCTGTGAAAATCGTCTCTTAGTGCCAAAAAATTTGAGGAGCAGTGGGCAGAAGACAGGTAGTAGTTTCACTGGGAATGGTTTCTAGTTGATTCTATCCTTGTATTCTGTCTTTACATGGTGGACCCATGCCAGTAGGGATGAGGAAGCACGCTGAAGCCAAGACTCTGAGACTGATCCTTTCATGGAGAACCCTGAATTTCTTCAATAGCAGGTTTTCAAGTGTTTCTTTTGTGCTAAGTTCTTTTAAGTAGACATCTGGCATGATGATTAAACACCTGAAATTGGAACCAAGAAAACAAAATGGTCTCTTGTCAGAATTGAGACCCCCACAAAAGCTATACAACCCAACCGAAACTGTTTCCACACTTGTAAGAAGATGTGGGCTAACAGTAGCTACTATTAAATATTTTCTTTATGGTGTTATGCTGGCATTTTCTTGCAGTATGTTCATTTTTTAGTATTTTTAAACTGTATTCCACAAAGACTTACCATCTTGGTAGCATACAGGATCCTTTTACTTGCATAATAATGATTACATTGTTCTTTAAAAACACAATCAATAACTCTAACACAATTGCTGTTCCTTAAAATACAGCAAATCATGCAACACATAACGTATTTTCAAGAAAAAGCATCTTGTTTTACTTTCAGGCTCATCTCTCCAAACTGTCAGCATATCAGCAAGAGTAACAGGAAGAGTAATATGAAGTCAGGTGGACAAAATACATAAATCTAATCTGTTGAAAGTGTCCATGCAAGACAGCTAGACTGGGCATTCTGGGAAATCTCCATACCTGTCATTGTGGCCAAACATCTTGTGCGCCAGCTGTCTCTCTCTTCCCTGGTGCTGGACCTCTTCACTCACACTCTTGCCATGTATTTGCCTGCTCACTCCATGAAGACCAGCTGAAGCTTGAAAATCTGACTTCCCACATCTGTGGCTGTTCTCAGAGTGCCTCCAACACATATTCTTGGTCTGTGCCTAACTTTTCAAGGTTTCCAGTAAGGAAGACAGAGTCACCTTTGTATCTACGCTGTCCTTAGAGTCTCA